TGATAATCCTCACATTCCGAACATTCAGAAATTTCATTATTTAAAGGCATGTGTCAAGGATGAAGCAGCGGAAGTCATTGCCTCTCTCGAGAAAACTGTCAACAATTATCAAATTGCATGGGATCTTTTAAAAGAACGATATCATACTCGCAAATATATCGTTAATAGTCATGTAAGTGCTCTTTTTAAAATTCCTAACAGCGGTTCCACATGGAGGCAAAATCGCAGCGACGTTGCGATTGTCGTGCTCCCACCATCCCATCTACTCAATGCACTCCCCGCCTGTGACGTCATGAGGGGAAAGCATTGTGTAGATGGGATGGTGGGAGCACGACAATCGCAACGTCGTTGCGATTTTGCCTCCATGTGGAACCGCTGTAATGTTTCAAAGGAATTTAGTATACGATCGTTACTTGTTAATGTACGAAAAAGACTTAGAGCTCTCAAATCTCAATTACTCTCGTAATTCAACTCGACCTTCTCAAACTTGTATGGCAACTAGTGTTGATTCTAAAAACGAAAATTCCAAGTCTGTATGTCATGCGTGCTCTGGTTCTCATCAAGTACATTCGTGTGATAAATTCTTAAAAATGTCACCGATAGAACGTTATGAAATTGTGAAAAAATCACCCCTTTGTCATAATTGTCTTTTGGGAATCCATCGAACAATTGATTGCCGTAAACCTTTATGTAAACATTGTAAAGGTAGACATAATGTTTTATTGCATTTTCCCAAAGACAATCATGAAGAAAAACATAGTAATGAAGTTATGACATCATTAATAAGTTGTCAAGTTCCATCGCAAGGCCAGGTAGTTCTTGGGACGGCTATTGTTAAAATACTCGACAGTTCAGGTAATTATCAACCCTGCCGAGCCTTTTTGGATTCTTGTTCACAATGCTGCTCAATCAGTAATAAATGCGCGGAATCACTAGGGCTTTTAAAGAAATTAATTAATATTCATTTAAAGGGAGTTCAGAATTTGCAATCAAAAATTAAATATAGGACTTCCACGAAAATAAAATCTCGATATTCTGATGATTTTAACTTAGATTTGGATTTCTTAATTTTCGAAGAAATTTTCGATAAAATGCCTTTGACAGCTTTTGATAAAAATATGATAAAAATTCCAGAAAATATATTTTTAGCTGATCCAGAATTCCATAAATCTTCTGATATTGACATTTTGATAAGTGCTGAAAATTTCTTTGAATTGTTGCTTTTAGGTCGAATTAAGGTTCCATATCAAACAACAGTATTTCAAGAAACCGTATTCGGTTGGATTCTGTCAGGTCGTATTGTTAGTCCAAAAATGCCCAAACAATACCACCAAAACAAAATTTCGTGTAACTTAACTCAACTCAATAAATTACCAATTTTATGGGAATTAGAAACGGCCGAGTCTCACTATATTCAATCAATTAAACGTTTATCTTCAGGTAGATATCAAACTGAACTACCTTCCAATGAAAAAAATTATTTACTCGGTGATTTAAAAAACACTGCCTCTCAGAGTTTTTATGCTTTTGGCACCTCTTGTGCACCATTTTTAGCAATCACAACATTGAACTAATTAGCTGACGATGAACAAGAAGCATTTCCAGAGGCTTCAAGAATTCTAAAAGAAGATTTTTATGTCGATGACCTTCAAACGGGCGCTCAAACAATTTCTGAGGCTCGCCAAATTCGTGATGACTTAATTAATTTATTGGCCAAGGGAGGATTTCCTATTCGAAAATGGGCTTCAAACAAACGTGAATTATGTGAAGAGCTTGTAGGAGATCTTTCGAAGGAGTTTATGTCGTTACATAATATAGACTCAGTTAAGGATTTCGGAATTAACTGGGATCCTCGATCCGATTCTATTTTTTATTCGGTAAAATCGTTAGATTCAAACAATGCGACACTAAAAGATCAATTACCTCAAAATGTGCAAAACTTTTCGATCCAACAGGGTTAGTAGGTCCAGTTATCGTTATTGAAAAAAATATTGATCCAAGATCTTTGGAAACAACAATTGGGATGGGACGATGTAGTTTCGAATGAAATTCTAGAAAAATGGTTGGTTTGTAAGAATCAATTACCTTTGATTAATAATTTACGCTTTCAGCGTTGTTTAATCCTTGAATCATCTATTGAATTTCAAATTCATGGCTTTTGTGACGCAAGCGAGAAGGCCTATGGAGCGTGCTTAAACCTGCTTTCAATTGACAGTGCAGGTAAAATTCATTGTGAACTCATTTGTTTAAAATCTCGTGTTGCGCCTCTCAAAATAATATCTTTACCTCGGTTAGAGTTATGTTTAGCTGTGTTATTAATTCAATTATATAAAAGCACAGTTCGTGCTCTTAAATTGAAAATTTGCAAATCAACATTCTGGTCCGATTCAACTATTACATTGAATTGGATAAACACTGAACCTCACAAGTTGCTAACCGAGTTTCAGAAATACAGTCTAATTCTCGATCTACTGATTGGAGGCATGTCCCCAGTCAGGACAATCCAGCCGACTGCCTTTCACGCGGTCAGTTTCCTAATGAGTTTCTCGAAAATGATTTGTGGGTTCACGGTCCTCAATGGCTCAAGGAAAATGAAGAAAAATTTGGCCAAAATTCGAATTTAAAGGTCAAGAAATATTAGAAAAGCGAACAAAAACAACCGCGTTAGTAATGACTTTAAAAGGTTCAATTGATCTTCTCGAAAGATATAGTATTTTGAAAAAATTGCAAAGAATTTTTGCGTATTGTTTAAGATTTATTAATAGTTTAAAAATCTGTGATTAAAGGTTAAGAAAAAACAGTTCTCTTTCAAATGACGAACTTCATGAGGCTTTAAAGGTTGTATTAAAATTGGTACAGGCTCAAGCTTTTTCCAAAGAAATTTTAGCAATATCAAAAAATGAATGCGTTGATTCGAAAAGTAGTTTACTTAATTTGAATCATTTTCTAGAAGAAGGATTGTTAAGGGTGGGAGGAAGATTAGACCGTGCCGAAATTCCCGAATCTCAAAAACATCCTATTGTGTTACCAAAAGGACATCATGTTACAAAATTAATTATTCAAAATGAACACATTAAAAGATCTCATGCAGGTACAAATGCAACTCTTTACGGAGTTTGGGAAAATTATTAGCCAATAGATGGTAAAAATGTGACTCGTCAAATTGTTCGTAAATGCGACAATATCGCATGTTTCCGTGTGAAACCTCGAGAAATTAAATATATGATGGGTAATTTACCAAAAACTCGACTTTCATTGGTTAAACCATTTCTGAATGTAGGCGTCGATTTTTGTGGTCCTTTTTTCGTAAAGGAACATCGACATCGAAACAGAACAAAGGTTAAAACATACGTATCTGTTTTTGTATGTTTTGCTACAAAGGCAGTTCACTTGGAACTTGCCAGTGATTTATCAACTGAAGCCTTTCTAGCTTGTCTTAAACGATTTTTTGCACGTCGCGGGTTATCAAAATCAATAAATTCTGATAACGCAACAAATTTTGTAGGTACAAATAGCGAACTAAAAGGTTTAATGAAACAGTTGTCTCCCACAATACAAGAAGAAAAGGTTCAAAATTACTTATTAGAACAAGCGGTAACTTGGCGTTTTATTCCCCCACATGCTCCGCATTTTGGCGGCTTATGGGAAGCAGCAGTCAAATCTTTCAAATATCATTTTACAAGAATTGCAGGTAATACTCTTTTAACATACGAACAGTTGCATACCTATGTTGTAGAAGTGGAGGCTATTCTAAACTCTCGCCCTCTTACCCCGCTTTCATCTGATCCTAATGACCTGCTCCAACAATAATCAGGACAATATCGCTTGCGGAACTCTTGTGGTTGTCAAGAAAGACAATCTCCCACCACTAAAATGGAATCTCGCACGCATTATTGAGACTCATCTTGGTCGTGATGGAATTGTGCGTACAGTCACTTTAAAGACAGTAAAGGGAACTTATACTCGCGCACTAAAAAATGTTTATCATTTGCCCTTGGATTGAATGAAATTTCTATTCAGTCAGTTAAAATTATTTAAAAATAATAATTATTAATCACATTATGTAGTTTTTTAAAGTATAATGTTCATATGTAAAGATAAAAATCTTTTTACTTTTGAACGTGATCGTCTAAAGGGGGCAGATATGTTAGAGTAATAATTTTATCAATCATAATTTAAATTTATTTCGATATATTTATATAAATTTCAAATGTTAAAAAATATTAGAAATATTATAGGCTTGAAGTACAGACGATATTGTAAAACTTTATTATTTTACTATCGCGTCAAAAATCTTGCCATTAACAAAAATTTATAACTCATCTTAATCTTTCAAATTTTTAGTTTCTCACGTTTTTATTTTATTGTAGGGATTTAGGAAAAAGATGAACCAAGCCTACGAAAACACATATTTTACAATTATTGTTATCCGGGTTCATCATAAAAATAGCATCAGTTTTACGACTTTCAACATCTGAATTTCCAATGTACCTGAGTTAACCTCACTCCTACCTAACCTACCTCATTACTTCCTCCAAAATGACAATGTACGCCTCCTCAAAACACCAAATCTAAACCCTCCCTTTTTACCCTGTGACCCAATAAATTGGAAATTTATTAGTATTATAATTTACTAATTATCGAATTTAAGAAGGGCCTGAATTTATAAAAATTCAACTTGATAGAACTATTAATTTACTAGCAAAAACTACTCTTACTATCAAGTACAATGGTGACGCTAGGAATTTGTTAACTTTGAAATTATCACTGTAAATTGGTCTACTTAAATTTTATCAACAATAATGCTCAGTTGAGCGCCAGTTATTTTAATTATGAATTTTACTTAAAATAACAAAAGTAATTTTCTTTTAATTTCACAAATACTAATTTTGAGACTCAAAAAAAGGAGGAGAAGGCGGTGGGTTGAATTCCACTGAGACTAGTAAGTTAAAGCAGAAATATTCAATTTATTAACACAACAAAATAACCTTCCGACTTACCGATCAATTCGGTTAACAAATGAAAATGTTGGCGACAATTAATAAGAACGGTGCCTTTCTCTGGTTACAATTCTTCGTCGTTTCCCAACAATGGTTTCTCACTTGAAATTTCGTCTTTACACTCTGGTTCGCACTTGCCTTTGACTCTGGCAATTTAACTAATCTCTCGATTTAACGTCTATCTCTACATAAATATCGTTCTCAATTAATAGTTCACAGTTCTCCTTTTAAATTTAGAATACTACGGATATTACTCAACTCACTCAAAATCACATCAAAGAAAACTCTTGTCTCTTAACACTCTCGGAACATATTCTCTTGACGATTTTTCGCCATCTGTTTTTATTACAACCGGCGTCGGTGGTCTGCTAGCTCGCGCGCATTTTCTTTCTCTCTTACTCACACGTACTTTCTCTCCTTCTCTCCGTCACTCACACGGTACATCGAACTGCTTGCGAACCGATTACTACGCCAGTTGGAAATAGTCCGTTCAAAATAAAGCTTAATTTCTCGGGATTAATTTTCTTACGAGAAATATTACAACAAAAATTCGTAAATAATAAATGAATAAAATAAACAAAATAACTTTCATTAATTATAATAAATTTTAATACTGAAACCAAAAAAAAATAATAAGTCTAATTTAATTCTAATCATGAGAACGTAGTCTCTGAAACGGAAATCGTGCTCGCTGACAAATATGAAAATAAAACAATTTTGCGTTCTGTGACAATTCACCTTGTCACAATTCCCGTTCCTTATTCGTCACTACCTGTAGTGACGCTATAACACTAGTTGCTAGTAGCAATCAAAAACGTAACAAATTCAAAAAAAAATAAAAAATGAAAATAAAAAAAATGTTATTACTCTAACCATTCTTAGTGTTTACCCCCTTGAATTCCTCTTTTCGATAACTCTTCTACGTTCCTCAAAGAATTCCCTCATAGCCAATGTTATCGCATCGGCTGGCAATCCAACTAGAGCTTGAGCAAAGGATCGTGTTTGCTCGATGAATCGGTCGGTGTCATCCTGCTGAGCGAGCTGCTCTGGTAACATCTGTGGTGATTGAGGCAACGTTAATGTTGGTAAACTGTGGTATACCACTGGCGGTGATGGCAACGGTGGTGGGAAATTCCAATTTGGAAGTAGAGTTGACTGATCCACAGGTAAATTTGTGGGAGTCAATGTTACTGTTGGAACTTGTTCCAACAATGCCCATATTTCATCAGGGTCCAAGTCTTCCTTCTCCGTTGATTCTCGCTTCTCATCGTTATTGTTCTCTTCTTGAGTCCTTTGTCCGGGTCGTTCTAATCCAACAGATTCCAACTTACGGAATCCTCGGCCTACACCCGATGTGTTCCGTTTTGACATCGTGATCACCTTTAGCTCCGCTACTTCCTTATGCTGCTCCTTGATTGATGGTTTTGCGCTGGTACCTTGTTCCGCATCTCTTCTAAGCTTCTCCTGAACGCTCAATTTTCCTGAATCAGCCATCCTTTTTCTGACCTTTTCCATTCGCTCGGACCTGTAATCACTATAGTTGGTTTTTCCGTACTTCCTCATCATGTCAAGTGCATGTTGCTCTGAACATCGAGGACATTCAGTCATGGTGACTCCACGCCTACCACAGTTGCAGCAATAACCATAATGCGGATTCGGACACTTGCTGCGCCGGTGTCCCATCTCCCAACAGCTGATGCATGATCCAGGTGGTGGATCAACTTTAGGGTCGGTGGGAATCGGCTTAAGATTTCCAAACATCACGCCTCGTGTAATAATTGGAAGAGTCTGGTTTCCAAGTTCGATACTAGCAATCTCCAATGATTGCTCCATTTCTCTTCTGATTGGTGGTCCTGGCGGGGTAATCGGACGCTCTGGTGATGGAGTTTTCGCTCTTGAGACATAGTTTTCATAAAACATTATGTCTTTGCTCACAGCACGAATGGCCTTGACCTGCTCGTCCTTCAAACGCTCCTTTTCTCTTGACGTTCTCGGATGTTCACTTTTGAAATAACGTTCTAACTCCTCAACAGCTAATCTGCTTTCCCATTGCTGTTCACTTTCTCCTATTTGTCGCTCGATTACTGGTTCCCTTTTTGGGCAACCTCTGCCACGCGAAGAAACTGCTACCGTGTAATCACGGTGTTTGCGAACTTTTTTACTCTTTGCTGGCTGTATTGGGGGAACATCCTCCCAGGTGATCAAATCCGATTCGTCATTTCCGCTGGGGTTATTGGAACTTGGGCCTGGCCTTGCTTCTGCGCCATCCTCCATTGGTCTCCGTAGACCTCGTCCTAGGAACGGTGATTGTTTGTTTCTTTCTTGGTCATA